CACCACCCACCTGTACTTCCTGTTGGCCTCGTCGGCCGTCAGGGCGTGCTCGAACATGAGGACGCGGTAGCGGGGGTCCAGGCGGGGGCCGCTGTACTCGCGGAACTCCAGCTCCACCGCCGCGTCCAGCAGCGAGAGGTAGCGGCGCACGATCAGCGCGTAGGGGCTGCCTGCGGGGAGAGGAGGGGTGGGCAGGACCCCAACGCCACCCCCCGGGACCCCCTCCTCGCCCACCCAAGCTCCCGGGGGGGTCCGTTCTGCCCAACCCTTCCAAAACCCACCTCCAGCCCAGCCCCGGGTGGGTTTACCCCGGCAGAGGCCCGACATACTCATGACGTTGGTGATGAAGGCCGGGGAGAAGACTTGGTGCAGGACGGTCTGGGGGAAGTGGCTGAGCTGGAACATGGACATGAGGATGTTGACGGTGGCCAGGGGCGAGGTGCCGGCCTTCTGCTCCAGGATGGCCTCCAGCTTGGGGAAGAGCTCCCCGTGGTTGGAGGGGCGGTAGTTCATGCGGCTGAAGGGGAACACCAGCTTCTGGATCACCTGCGGGAGGGAGGAGAGGGGCGTCGGGCACGGACCAAGGACCGGGGCAGCGTCGGTCCCCGGTGAGACGGGAGGGGTGGCTGAGACCCCAGAAGGCTGTGCCACCACACGGCGAGACCTGGACGGGCTGGAGGAACCTGAGGAACTTCAACAAGGGCAAGTGCAGGTGCTGCACCTGGGGAGGAAGAACCCCCTGCACCAGGACAGGGTGGGGTGACCTGCTGGAGAGCAGCTCTGAGGAGAAAGACCTGGGAGTCCTGGGGGACAACAGGATGCCCAGGAGCCAGCAATGGGCCCTGGTGGCCAAGAAGGCCAGTGGTCTCCTGGGGGCCATCAAGAAGAGCCTGACCAGTCACCCTGCCCCTCTGCTCTGCCCTGGGGAGGCCCCAGCTGGAGCACTGGGACCAGTTCTGGGCTCCCCAGTTCCAGAAGGACAGGGAACTGCTGGAGAGGGTCCAGCAAAAGGCTATGAAGATGCTGAGGGGCCTGGAGCATCTCTCTGATGAGGAAAGGCTGAGGGACTTGGGTCCTTTTAGTCTGGAGAAGAGCAGACTGAGGGGGGATCTGATCAACGCCTCCAAATACTTGAAGGGTGGGTGTCAGGAGGATGGGGCCAGGCTTTTTCCAGTGGTGCCCAGGGACAGGGCAAGAGGGAACGGGCACAAACTTGAATATAAGAAGTTCCAGCCCTGGCAGAGGCTGCCCAGGGAGGTGGTGGAGTCTCCTTCTCTGGAGACATTCAAACCCTCCTGGACACGTTCCTGTGGGACCTGCTCTGGGGGGACCTGCTCTGGCAGGGGGTTGGACATATCTCCAGAGGTCCCTTCCCACCCCATATCCAGAAGGGAGGTGGCTGCCCCCAGCCCCAGGACCCCCTAGGCTCACCTTGCTGTCGAGCTGCTCCCCGCGCTTCAGCAGGAAGTTTGCGATGGTGTCGAGCAGCCGGGGCTCGCGCAGCCGGTGCCGGGCCACGTACTTGGCAATGAGGGCCATGGTGTAGGGGGTCAGGTTCTCCGCCTTCCTGGGCAGCCACTCTGCAGAGAACAAACCCAACTCCATCCATGAGTTGTCCATCAGGGGTGGGTCATGGCTCTGGCCAAACCGCGGCTCTCCAGGAGCCACCAGCACAGGAAGGGAGACAACAAAACCCGGCCATCTCTCCCAAAACACCACTGAGTTATGGGGTTGGGGAGAAGCCGGGGCAGACCCCCTGGTCCCTGAGCCCAGAAGATGCAGCTGGAACAGGCACAGAAGGGGGGTCCTTCTGCAGACACCCCACCAAAGCTGCCCCCAGCCGGGAGGTGAGGCAGACTCAGAGCCCCAGGAGGGCTCGGCTGGGGACAAGGTGACAGGGTGGCCACAGCAGAGCAACTCCTGCTCCAGCCCCACCGCTGCGGGCCCCGCAAGGCCCTGTCACAAGCCCAGGTGTCCTCCAGGACCAAGAAAGGAGGCTCCGAGGCCACCAAGCGCAGGGCCGGAGCCCGGCAGAGCCCGCCCTCACCTGCCATGCTGCGGATGAATCGCTCTTGGCGGTTCTCGTAGAAGAGCTGGGAGCTGAAGATGGCCTCCAGGGCCTTGTTGTTGGCCTCCTGGGCGCACAGGGCCAGCATCTCGTCCAAGAGGGCCAGCTCGTGCTCCCGCATGGCGCTGACTTGCCCCAGCGTGTGCCGGACCAGGCGCAGGATCTTGCGGTTGTTGATGAGCTGCTGGTCGGAGGCGGGGTGTCCCTGCAGCGCCTGCGCCCGCAGCCGGTAGTAGGAGAGGAGGAGGAAGAGGGTCTGGGGGTGCCGCTCCTTCTCCAGGTGCCGCTCCAGGCTGCTGAGGCAGGACTCCACCAGGGGGTGGGGGCTGGAGGGGTGCAGCCTCATCACGCTGCTGAAGACCATGGAGACGTCCTTCTGGTTGAAGCGGCCCAGGCGGCTGCGGGACTCCTCCTCCAGCACCCGCACCAGCGGGGACTCCCCGGGCAGACCTGCCGCAGGGACGGGGTTAGGGACACCCCCACCTCCCCCCGCCGGGCACGGCCCTCCCCGTCACCCCCACAGCCAGGGTCTGCCGCGGCGGGGACCAGCGCGGGGGTGGGAAAGGGGGAGAGGACGGGTTTGGCAGAGCCCGGCCAGAACATTGGCCACGGGGAGCCCTTGGATTGTCCCCACCCGCCCAACCAACGTCCTGCGGTCCCTCCCCGAAAGCAAGGCTTATTTAAGTCTCAACCTTCTTAAAGATAAATAACACACCTCAAAAAGCACTTGGGAAAGAAAAGTTTTGGTTGGAAAACCAACAAGACATCGACAGGTTACCAAAATAGAATCTGCCCCTGTCCGGCAGGAATTAACCCCGTCCCTTTTCCAACCTCCTCCCATTTTCCAGTTCAGCTTTAGTTTCCCAAACTGGGCTCCTGGGGAAAACGCTCCCCCCCGGCTCCAGAGGCGTCACTCAGCCAAAGGGGCTGGCACACGGCGTGGGGACGAGGACGGGCAAAGGCCACCCCCCGTGTGTCAGGAGAGATATTTCCAGGAGGGACACGAAGCGTTAGCGCCGCGTGAGGCCGGGCCCCCCGAGGGCTGTGGGGGCTCTGGGGCAGGCGGGCGGCGTGGGGCGAGGAACCGGGATTTACCACTAATCACAAATCACTCAGACGGCGGAAAGTGAAGAATTAGTCTGAGCAGCTGCTTTGTTCCCCAGGAAAGGCCCCAAAAGGCGGCCGAGCACTTCTGTTAATGAGCGGGTGAGCGTGGGGAGCCCGGGTGGGGGGCGACGGCCCAGAACAAAGTGTGGGTCAAAGCCAGGGCTTTGGGGGGGCGCCCAGCTGAGGGGAGCGGCGCCCGCAGCTCAGTGTCAACAAACACCAGGCGCCGGGAGACGGGGAGGGGGGAAGAGCAGGAACTTCTCCCCCCACCCCTCGGTGGGGTCTAGAGTTACCGCATCCACCCCGGGGGGCTGCGGAGGGGCCCGGGCCCCACGAGCGCTGCGGGGGGGACACCAGGAGCAAACAGTGTGGGGCAGGGGCCAGGAGGGCATCATCCCCGCCTTGCAAGGGGAGATCCCATGGGGGCCAAACCCAGCCAAGGGGGAGCCCCCCAGGAGCCCCCCTGCCCAGGAACCCCAACCTGAGCCGGTTCTGCTGGGGCTGAGCCGGGACGGGCTGAGCCAGGCCCTCACCTCCCGCACCCAGACGCTTCCTGGATCTCAGGGATGGGAACACACCTCAAGCAGCGACTCATCCCGACGCCCCCAGGCAGCGCTGGCCACCGCTTGGGCTGCCCAAAGGCCACCGCGCCAGGGGCTACAGCCAGCAGAGCCCCCCGAGCTGTCAGCCCCCTCTGTCTCCCTGCCTGCTGCATCCCCCAACAGAGCGGCCTCCTCCTCTTCCTCCTCCCAAGGGCACAGCCCCCTCTGCTACAAAGCCACCAGCACACAGAAATCCACACAAATCCACATGGAAGCCCGGACACCGGCTCCAGTTTGCCCTTCCTCCTTCTGTGGCAGCCAGAGTGGCAAGCTCTCCTTTCTCCTCACAAGCCCAAGGCCCTGCCTGTCACCTCCGCCGGCCGTGGCCACCGGTAGCCCGGGACACTCACCCAGCGCGGCGGCGGCGTACAGGCAGTTGACGATGCTGAAGTTGTCGAACTTGGAGCAGCCGCTGATGATGGCCTGGCAGAGGGTCTGGAACTCGGGCTGCTCCAGCATGGGCCCGGGCCCGCGGCTCTCCCCGCTCCCCCCGGCCTGGCCCTGCTGCTGCTGCAGGAGCTGGCCCAGCTTGTGCAGGGCGATGGGGTAGTGGCTGGCGGAGACCTTGCCGGGGTTCTGCGTCACCCACCGCAGCACTTCCCCCACGCTGCGCGAGCGCTCGATCAGACGCTTCATGGTGAAGAAGGTGTCGTAGCTCATCTTCTCGTGGATGAAGTTCCAGCTCTTCCTCTTGCCGTGGCCCCGCGCCCTGTAGGCGTCCGGGGGGAAGGGGTGCAGCAGCCCATGGCCGTAGGGGTCCAGGGGGAGCAGCACCGCCCGCCCCTTGCCTTTGCCCGCGCAGTAGCAGGCGGGATACATCCCGCTCCGGTCACCAGCAGCCAGGCCCCGCGGGACGCCGGGCCGCACGCTGCCCCGGGTCAGAGCACGGAGCCATGGCAGCAGGCGCAGCATGGCGAGGGCAGGGCGGCTGGAGGGGCTTCGGAGAACCGGGAGACCCTGCGGAGGAGAGCGGGGTGAGGGGACGGACAGCTCCCCCCCCGGGGCGGGGGGACACGGGGAGGCCGGGCCGGGACCCCCCCAGCGCCGGGGTCCCAGCCCCGCACGGCCCCTCTTCTGGGTCCCCCCGCCCACGGAG